GCGTTTCTTGTGGTTTGCTAAAAACGACAACAACCAAAGAGCGAGTAGTGGCATTAATCACTTTTAATTGTCTGTTAATTTTTCATTTAATGACTTTCTTTTGGCTACACATCTCATGATTTTGACTACTGGTTGAAATTTAATAAAAGTTTCAGAAAATCTACTTTGAATAGTATTAGAAATTTATTGATTTACCTAAAATAACTTGTATAGTAATTTGAAGAGAAATTCTCTTCTTTATTAGGTTTTTACTTGGTGAGATTTCGGAATTTTCTTTGCAATTTGCAGGATAAAAGAAAGATCAACCCTTTTATATATGAGAACTGGATTTCCTAGTACTTCTTTTTATTTACAAAAATGATATAAGTTGATGCTACTTTGTAATGATCATGTTTGGTTTGTAAAGAATAAAGTTATAAATGTTTTCAATTTACTAGAAAAGTTTCCGCGTTATTTAGATTATAAATTATCTGTTTTTGAAAGTAAGAGTTCCCGCGCTATTTGAATTATATAATTTCTCTAATTTAAAACTATCATTTAAATTATGTATATTATTTTTATTTTAAATATAATATTTCCCGCGTTATTTATATTATATGATATATCTAATTTTCAAATTATCGTTATATAATTTTCAATAAATAACCGTTACATGTATCAATCTATAAAATATGACGTGTCACAATGTTTAATTTTGCTTTTTAGTTCTTTTCCAAATCCAATAACTAGATTAAATTTTAAAGGACTTGCTAATTAATTAAAGTATTTTTTAAGAAATTGTATATTATTGTTAAATCGATTTTAAGTTTTAGTTCACATGTACCTAAATATTGCTGTTTACCTTTACTTAAACTTATAAATGTATAAATTTTCAGATAAAAAATAACATAATTGTGTTTAGATCTTTTAAATACATCTTTAATAAAAGATGTAGTTAAATTTAATAATTAATTAATAGTTATTCTGATATCTATTGAATAATTTAATACTAATTCAAATATTTTGTTCAAATGACACACATTCAAACGTGAGTGGCATGCGTTACTTCGATG